ATTACGTTTGACGTGTATCATCCTAACTCGTGTCGCGTTTACCCAGGTAAAATTATTTTGACGGGACGATGGATCCCAGTAGGCGTTTCCGCCATCAGGGCGAACGTGACGGGTCGTCACGTGGTAAGAACTTAATTAACTAAGAATCCTGATTGGAGTAGCGAGCGATCAATTAACCCTAATGATTGTAAAGTGCCGCTCGTTTTCTGTTTTTCTCCAGTGAATTACGTACGAAACGGGAAAACGTCAATCCGGTTTCTAGTCTCTGGTACTTAGTCTATTTACGTAGATGGCGACAGTGTCGATTTTCCTGAGATTTACCGACACACTGTTAGTCTCGATTATGCAAATATAATTAACTTTCTAACGCCACCCATTGTACCGATATGTTCCTTAATTGTTCGTATAAAATTTTAACAACTTCACGTGTTCCGGAAGTCCTCGTCTTCTTCTTCTTGGATACATTCAATTGTTGCTCGACCACCTGCGTAGATGCATCAGGTCGTTCTGTGCCTCGTACCTTACCCTTTAGACCCATCTTCCACAGGGATTCTCATCCTGACAGGTGACCAAGTTACTCCAGTACGAAAATAAAGTCCCCGAGGGACCTACTCGCTGACATCCCCTGTCGACTTTTTATGAATAAAAGCCATAATGAATGAAGAATCGAGAAGACTGAAGCTGCGCGGTACATACCTAGCATAGTGCACCATAGTGAACCCCATTATTTACATAAGTCACGACCCGTCAATGAACCACCATAAATCAAGGCTCCCATTGATAAAAGCCATACCTCAGAAAAATGAGACATCCTCAATACCATTCGCTTCCCCGCTATCGAAACTTATCGATCTTGATATCATAATTTTGGCTAATAACCAATTCCCTCGATTACAAAATGCGACAAGTACGATATCTGCATACAATAGTGCACACATTATTTCCAGCTACGTTGCAACGAAACGAGTCGATAAATTTTCTAGTCGTTAACCAAGCCCAGGGTGATTCCAATTGCCATGAAGAATTAACGACCTGGTCCAAGACACTTCAGTAGATCCCAGCCGTCTTGGAGGACGAATAAAATAATCCTTGACAGAGACAAAGTCCAGCGAAGCTCAGCTCGTTACAGACCTAAAAGAGACACGATGATGACACAGTAGGTATATTGGTCCTAGCGCAGTGAGGTATTTAATCAATTATCCACAGTAACCTTGGTTCTTGTTCTTGGTCCGGGTCATGATGTTACTTTTTGTTCTCCACTCTGTAGAAGGTTGAAAGTCGAGCGTGACTCCTCTGAGCCTAGGGGGCACCATGGAATATTATTACATGATGTATACAAGTTTAAAACTCTCTGCCACACCATGAAAGACGTATACCCTTGGTTCCGCACCCTGAGCCTAAGGGTTCGTACACAACGTTTCACCATGGCAGCTTTCGTATAACTACCACCTACCTGGATCATGCATTACGAAATCAAACCGAAGATCAATCTTAAAGCTCGTTCACACTACACGTGTCATCGCTAATCTTAAAGGCTGACCTTCCTCGCACATGGCTGAATTACTCCCTCGTGGCATTGCCATGCGCTAACTAACCGTTCACCAATCAGGAACTAACCCCGGCTAACCTCTGGTTACAGCGGCATTCGAGTGGAGGATGTTCGTTAGGCTTGATTATTCCTCGAGTAGGTTGTAGGTAGTAGGTTCTACTCGGGTTCCGTATTGTAGGTAAATAGACGGTAGGTTGATGAAAGCTGAGTACTCTCCTGAAACGATATAGAAACTCAGTCTAACTGTCCATCTTCGCATTAGATAAGGTCATTCCCATGGCGTACCCACTTGGAGTCATCATCCGTCCTGGGTATTTAAACGTGACAATTGTACCTGGTGATAATTTTGTCCACGCCCTCGTTACTGGATTCATCGATAGCCTGACTTCGGGAATAACCTAGAATGCAAAAAAAAAGGATTGGCCACTGATCGCATTCACAGTGTCACGTTGTACCGTTAAATTCGTTCACGTCCCAGTCATCGCGCTTCGATCCAGTTGTGCCTGGAGCATTTAATAGAAACGGCCTGGGCACATGCGTACGCGCCTTAACAATACCGTGAAGTCAAGAGGCCGCAGACTGACCGCAACGAGGTAGATCTTTTATCCCATGGTGCGGAGTGTCGTGCTGCTGAGCTACGTCTAATTTCCCATGCACGGTAGCCTCGGCGCTTTATGTCTTGTGTACGGATTGCCCAAGTGGGTGGGAAGAAAAAAATTATCCATACGAGGTGTCTGGACCGTTTCACAATCACCATCACGTATTCATATACATATTGATATGCAGGAGGGACACTGATAAAAATTATTATTCAATATAGTATGTACGCGTGCGTGTGTATATGCACTTCGTGATCTTTCTAGATCGTCATCGGATCTATTGCGATTTCTACTGAGAGTGTACGCTATGATCACTAATTACCCTAGTTATGCTAATTAGATACCCGTCTACCTTATCCGACTCTTACTCGATTAATACCGTTTCCTGGCTAATTGCCAACCCGTCCTTTTGCGTCATAGCCGTCTACTCCCGTTACTAGGAGTCAGTAAGAGAAAAAAAATTTCATTCGTTTTAATAAATTTTGCTTTCTCCTCTTCACCCTCTTTTTTCCATCCTCCTCACCCACGCGCGACCCCATAAAAATCTGTCGTCCTACCTTAAGCCCGTTACACGTGCTTACGCGTTACTGTCTTCGCAAAATATTCCGTCCTCCCTTGCACTTTTGCACGTTGCGCAAGACCCGCGCGGCGCCATGCGGATGCGAAAACGGCGTCGGCCCAGCCTGCAGGACTGCGAGAACTAATTTATAGCGAGGTACACCGTAAAATTATTCACTTGTCGTTGTACAATAATGCCTTTGCTCTCCCGTACCAGTATCTACAGGTATACTGTTCCACGCGTGTATGAGGTATATGCGCAGTGACTCGTTGAATATTTAACTCGAAGCCACCCTTTCGGAGATTCGCGAAAAAAAGCCATCTAATAAGAATAACTACATTATTACTAAGAACGACTGACATGCGTACTCGGCTTAATACAGCCGTATACCGCTTATGCACAGTCCATTAATTCTTAGACATTGTAATTGGCCTCGTTGCTTACTCGGTACGCGTTGTTATTATAATTCATGCTGACCATAAGTTACCCACAGGAGTCCTTGCGTCCTGTGCGATGTAAATGACAATTATAATCAATTTCCTCCTCATTTCGTATGACTTTCATCACGTGCTCTTATCACGCGAATCGATCGAATCCCCAGGACAATGATCGTCTCGTTCGTGCTTTGCTCCTCGATTGAAACCAGGGTCGCCACGTGGGACTGTCTGACCGAGTGGCTTTAAAAAAAAAAATCTTATAAAATAATAACAATAACCACGCTCCTCACGACAGACGCCATAGGAGCAAAGTCTCGTAACAACGACTATGGTTGGGCCACGCATGTCTGCCGCGTCAGAAAATCTATATTCAATGGTGCCTCATGAAGAATTCCATGGTGGACATTGATCCGTACCTCGTACCACCGTCAACACCTCCTGGGGCCACCATTCATTCGCCACAGGATCGAGGACGCTGGGATGCGTATCTTTTGGTACCTTTACGCACTTTCTTTATTCATCATGATGCCCCATGGTAATACTATGGTTAACACTTGGGATCTTCGATGCTCCATTGTTGCGTTACTTGTTTCAAGGGGACTCATTTTTTTTTTTTTTAAATAGACGTTAATCACCCATCAATCTCCGTTGAATGGATCTAGGGAATTTAGGATGATTTACCTGTCTTTGTGAATTTGGGATTTTTCTTTTATTACCAGATAAAAAATTGTTTGTCACGTCATCGGCTTTGTGGCGCTTTAATAAAAACGAGAGTGACTCGATGACGAGATGGATGAGAACGGTAGTCCAGGATGTGTGTACGTATGTATATATATATATGACAAATGGAAGGGGAGAGAAAGGGGGGAGGTATCGAGATGGTACCAGGAACAGGTTCTATAAACGAGATGGACACCTGGAACAATCTGCTGTTCCTGGAGGAAGAATTGTACACGAGGTGAAAGGGAGTTGGAATCATGATCTGAAATACCGACAGCGTATTGTTTCTCGATCGGATAAGGTACGGATGCTTAATCAATTATTCTAAGTAGACCCTGTGTGGTTTAAACGTTACGTGACTCGAGATAAGTCTTATTATATGGCTCTACAGTGGGGAGTTACAGCGTATAAAAGATACGTAGAGCGCGAACCCCAAAGAGGCCAATGACTAACTTCTATCTGTTTCGTTTATCTTATCTATCGCCCGGGACAATATTCAAATCAGTGTGAAAGTATGTCACCGGGTATAATACATAATTTGGTGGAATGACTATGTTGGATGATGACAATGATGCCGGAGAGCTAAACAATACCACCCTGCCTTGGGATATGGTTCTTTGGTCCAGCAGCAGCATCCCTTGGAGAGATACACAATGCCACACTCAGGACCCACGGGACTTGAAGATCGTTTGATCCGTAAGACGTAATCGCTGTTGAAGTGACCAGACAATCTTCTCCTGGGAATACGGGCTTGGTTTACCACGTATTTCTTTCCTTCTCTCTTTTTTTTTTCCCTCACAATACTCACAGTCGGATCTTGTTTCTCTCAATGGGAAAATTGAATCGTCCGGAATTCCTGCGATCGTTCCACGAGAAGTGAGGAGCGGTTCGGCGTCTTCAAATGCTGCAGGGACGTAGATCGATTCGCTAGATTCTTTCTACGAGATACATATTATCTGGTATATATATATATATATATATATATATATATATATATATGCCGTACAGGAACCCTCCCTGAAAATAAAGCCCATCGTAAAGTGAACAAGCGCGAGGCGTCTGACCAACGTTATTTCACATCCATCACAATTACTCAGACGCCATTTTATTACCTAGGCAGACTGTCTACTCCGTAAAAAAGTGATCTTTTTAAATTTAAGAATAAATAAGACACTGGATATATCGACGTTCTCTTACTGTCTTGTACGTATGTCAACCGGGCAGGGACTCGTAGTAAGAAAATCTTTCGCAACAGGCTATGGTCTCAGTGTACGATCGCCCAGATAGATCTTCGAGGCAATTAACATAATCGACTAGCTGAGAAATAAAGGGAGGAATGAGATAAAATAAATGCACATCCAACGCGTATTACCAGACAGCGTGACAGCTTCTTATCGGCGATTAATGCTCGCTAAGATCGAAGGTCGGTATTGTCGCTTGGTTGCGATCACGTTAAGTCCCAAGACGTCGGATGGGATTTAAATACGTCTGAATTCCCCGTGATCTGGGATGCTGCGTTACGGGCGGTGCGAGGAAGCTCGAAACGTGAGGATTCAGGTCTTTAGGCTGAACGCATGAATTCTTGACTTCTGAAATTAAAAAGTCCCATGATTGCGGATATAATTCTCTAATTCTCGAATATCTTACAACTAACACGATGAATTCTTATCCGTGGAGTCCTACGCCCACGCCTCATTGCGATATACCTGGTGGCCTTTTTACATCGGTGATTCCAGCACGACTACGTGCTCCAACCTCGCCATGGTGTCAGGTACATAATGGCGAAACACCCACGCGCTCTCCGCACCCACAACGCGCTCCAGAGACTTTTCCTTCCTCTCCGTAACACGCTGCCCGTCGATTCCATCGACAACGTAAGTCAGTTGCACTTTCCTCGGTGAATACTTCAAGTAATTGACACGATAGATGTTCCGAGTAAAGTCTGATACCACAAGATGGCACTGACTGTTAAAGTGCTGCCATGATGAATACGCCTTAGGTGCCGCTGAATCCTGTAAGCATGACAAAAGGGGATAATCTACGATGTTATATGGGAGTACCTTTTTTTTTTTTTTTTACTTACAGTTTCAGAACGCGGAGGACGCATAAAGCACTACGAAAGAAATTCAATTGCGCATACAGTTAGCATACGTGGGCGATAATGACACTGCGGCTATGTCAAGCGGGCCTCTTGGCTCATTTGGCATAATCTTTTTTTAACTATAGGCTCCAGGCCCAGCCCTTCCTCAAGACTGATTTTCACGAGGCGACGCACATTTTCTTCATGTACTATTCATGTGGTTGCGTCTCAAGGGCATTCTTAAGCAATTTATTAATCGAGGCACGGAGAATATAACCTCAAAAACATTGCGATAGATACTTTGCTTCTTTACTCTTCACGGAGACTCTGCATCCTCTTATATATATATATATATATATATATATATATATTCTCTCTCTTACATAATATTCTAGACTCTACCTTGCTTCGTCTATTATTTATTTAACGACTCATCATGCCACACGAGGGGAAAATTTATGGCCGGCAACGGTCAGCCTTGTACTCTTGGTACTACGTTGGGACTCGTCCAAAGTAGTCCTCTTCTTCAGGCATCTTGTGTTATTCGTTATTCTAGGTATTTAAGATAATTGTTATTTAACAATGTATAAAGGCTTCTTTATCTCATAGCTCAATCCCGCTTCGTTTGGTCGAATCGTTATTAGGTCCATCAGTCGATTTCCTTGGCATCCCACGTATAGAAAACTCTTGGCTCTTCTCTTACGAAATTCTCGTTAGCAGCTTCCAGGAGAAATGTATCAGGACGACCTACCGCATCGTTATCGCCATTTCCTCAGCGGCCATAGCTCGTCACGAGATAAATGCGATTTAACGCGTCGTAGATGTACAGTCTCCTCTCGCAATTCTCTTACGAGTCGCCGGATACAAGGCAGTAGACCGGCTGCTGTTTTATATCTTGTAATTACACAGCATCGGGGGATGAAGGTGAAGTATCCCAAGGCGATCCCGGGGATCTCCTGCTGGACTGCATGCTGGGACTTTGGCTTTGCTCTCTTCTTCAGTACGTACAGTGCCGGCGTGTTGGTACCGAAGATCATTATAATGTGAACTGGATATTCGTGACTGTACAGTTTCATCATGAAATCCACCAGGATTACTGTTACCGTCGGTTGAATATTCTTCTGATCAATTATTAAATCCTTGAAGAAATTACGTGATAAAATTTGCAATGATCCGTGACACGTGAGAGCGGTCCATTGGTCTTCCATAATATTTATCTTACCAAGAAGTTCTTGATCATCAAGGTACGATGACGTAGGCGTTAATATCAATGACAGGGGGAGGCTCCTGAAGACTGATAAAGGACCTGAAGAACAATGTGGCTCCGATTTAAAGTTGGCAACAATGATCTTACTGTTTCTTGTGGCTAGAACAGAATTCAAAATGATATTGAATTTAATCAAAATAAATAATGGCATAACGGGTAGATCGCAAAGTCAATTGATATATTACATTATAATATACATCTGTAATCACGGTCATCAAGTTCATTAAGTCTCGTTCCGAATGCTTGTAAGATTCAATTCCATGTAGATCCTCGAGAGAGATCTAAGGATATCTGAGATTATTTACGGTACATAGAAATATGCTTGAAAGGTGATATACTTGCCGAAAGTTAATATCGCAAGGCAAGTCCTATGGAGGAAGTATATGATAAATCATCCTGTATATAACGTCGATTAATTATGAGACGTAGCCAAGACTGTAATTAAGTCTTCCTTGATGACCTGTGGTTCCTCGCCCGCTGCGAAATCATCGAAGTCACTGAATTTATACACCAATTAAATCCTGACCGCTTGGCTGGTCCTGTGCGGCCAGGATCGTCCGGTCGGTAAATCGTTCGTTCGACGAAAGAAATCGCTTTCCCAAAAGGAAATTATAGTTCGATCCATGAATTCGGGGCTTGAATGAGCTCTCGGATCATTACCTTAATTAATCATGATGTAACCGGAACAAGAGTATATACACAGCATCGCGTATAAACTAGCGCGATATAACGTTCAACGAATCCGAGGGTGAATCCTTAGGGCGGCATCGCGTCGACTTTACAAGCTATCTGATCGTATTAAACGATATTTATTGCCGATTCCAAGCACCTGATATGGCTCCCTAAAACACGCCCCTGGACATTAATTTATCATTGTGAACCTGCAGGCACTGCCATACTCCTCGCCGGAAACGATACCCAGGAGACGCCCAGACGATTCCTTAGTCCAGTCATTTCTTTGTTCTTCGAGTGACAGCGAATCTGAAGATCAGATTATTATCAGACGTAGAAAAAAAAAAGTGTTACATTTTTGTATAAAACGTATTTTAGCTACCTGTAGTCACTGTAGATTTTTTCCAGAATTCTCAATACTTTCTCCGAATAATTCCTTATGCATTGTCACGTCTTGCTCTGCACGGCAACAATAGTCCCATTCACAAAAATCTTCCGCGAGGTTCAGCAGGATTTTTTGCATTATGCGAAACTGGTTTCCTCGGTTCGCATTGACTTTTAAATGCGACATCTCATGTTATAGTAATAGAACTAGTATCCTGGACAACAGTGAATACGAATACTATGAGATCCTGAGGGATAGCTGAAACAAAAGGAAAAATCAGGATAATTCCAAGGATAAAAACTGACAGTAACTTTTTAATCCTGCGATCCTAAAAGCCCTTTACATCTTTCTCACTGAACGTACTTGCGCAATTGAATGTATCCCAGGATAATACTTCCCCCGAACGTCAAACAACAGAATGGTATTATTATCGAATCATAATGAAGCCAGCAGGTTAGGCAACATTAATTAATACGGCAAGGCAATTGCCTACCGCAATGACGTGGCCGATCCTTATCCCAAGAGTCTCGCAACGGTCAGCAGATACCATTAATCAACGTTCCAGGAAGGACGGTGAGCAAAAGCTCGATTGAAAAGCTTGCAAAAATAACCGAGCACATACCAAACCCAAGTACGAATAGTAAAGGCGTGAAACCTGAAATTCCGATCGCATCAGCAATATGCAATTCCAATGCATTGGGTCCACCAATCAGTAGCCGATCATTGGAGCCCACAGCGTAAGAGCCGCACGGGGCATTAAGTCCCGCTGATTTACGGGATTGCTATCAGCATGGAAATTATCCTACTTAACCAGGAACCTGTCGACTGTATCGTAGCCCCAGGGACTGGGGATCTGGGTAAATGGGCGTGAACGTTGCGAGGGTAAAGCAAGAATACCAGACGCACTCGGAGGAATTTCCCTTTCTCGAGGATCGGGCCTTGTAAATGTCTATGTATACATATATCCCGCCGATACTTCGCTCGATTTCAATTTGTTTCCAGTATTTCTAAGTCGGTATCATACGCTACCAGCAAGTTCGACGGCCTGCGTCCCTGTCTTGTTTCTAATCGGGCGAACATCGTGTTTCCATGTTACGCCGACACTTATGCACGCCTGGCATTACGAAATCATCGTCGTAGATCGATCTTCCGTCTACACGTTTGATTTCTTGCTGGTAAAAGGAAACGATCATCTGACTTCCAAGATCTCTAAGCTCCGTGGCAGCCCGCCGCACGATCCGCTAAATCCCTCCGGCGCATGATTCAGTGATCCCTATAGTGAGCTTTACGATATCCCAATGGTAATGTCCCATTGTCATTTGCATGCCGCCCTGCGATCTTTCTGATCGCTCGTTGCGAAATGCACGATCGTAATGCTTTATGTCTGGGCAGCAGTCCTGTACGTATATGCTGAATATACTTTACCGGTACCTGAGGTATATCGCCTGGGCTTGATCTTCGTCCGGGGATTTAAAAGTTAAAGTATCGTGACAGAGCAACGTACTCGGCAATTGATTTACTGGGTTTTACGCAATTACCACGTAGAGATGAGATACCAATTAGTCGAAAGCTATTACCCAGTAGATAATGAAGATAGCCATGCCTCGAGGTAAGTAAATCATGTAATCGTGACCAGGACCAATTTCTTTAAACGTACCTGTAGCCACACATTTTATCTCAGTATACTATCTATACTTTAATCTACTTGTTGACAAGCACGATAAGAGATTCTTAGGGGGATATTAAATGAATTAAACTTTATCAAATTTCACGTAGTAATTGTTACTGACGACGTAGTCATTTTGAACGACGCTAAGCGTCCCGACGCCTACGGGCGTATCTGAACGTCAGCCAGAGCACGTATCTAATACCTACGTAACATTAGCACCTTCAGGCAAGCTTCGGAAAGCATAACTGCGACATAAATCGTCGATTACAGAAGCTTAAGGCGGCTATAATGATTATGATAACCGTTCACAATAAAACATACCGATCGGCTAACGATGCGTGGTGAATGAGTAAATTACAAGACGCAGTTAAAGAGCGTTATCAAGTAATAGCTAAAATCAAGGCACAATAACTCTAATAAATCTTGTTAAACCATAGTAGAGAAGGAGAAGATCCATCCAAGTCAAAAGGAATTAATAGCACGAATCTACCGTAGACTAAAGCGAACCGTGTAATGGTTACTACGTACAAGATACGCCATGAGGAAGATATACCAAGAAAGGTAGAGATCAGCCGGTGAAGACACTATCGTATTCCCATCAATGGAAGATAGTTCGAACGTAAAGGCTGACGTATATATTCGCAGGACGGTATCAGCATCAGGAATAATTTGTATCTTTTCCAAGTCCGCATAGTCAACACTGGATACCTGCGGTATCTTTTATCCAGCATCTTCCTAGGCTCTGCACTACCCATAGGCACTGCTCCCTACGTACCTATGTACCAACGTCAATAAATCCGCATACCACTGGATAGCGTACTTACACGCGCGTAAAATGATCTAAGAGAAGCTCTAAGCTGCGCTGAAGCCACGGCAAATAGTCCCTTGCATCGAGATATTCCTTTAGTTTTTTATCTTTTTATCTTTATCTCGTCCTCCTCTTCCTCTTCCTTGGATCTTCGTGGTCGTCGTGGCCACGCTTTCTTGTAACGTGGGTCGTTTCTTCACGTATGCAATAGTAAGTTGAATCAATCTTGAGTCTAGCGGTAGATGCACTATTGCGCGTATTGTCGTGTGGTAATTGTAATAAGGCCCAAAATATTCTTCTGCGTCATGGCCATGCGTGGGACCCAGTGAGCCATGAATGAATGAACCCTCCTATACGTAGAGTCTTGTTTAATTATGCTACCTGAATATCATTTCAACTGTCCAGTGTGTAGCTACGGTGAGAAAATAAATTGAATGCTGGCCTTTATGTCATTCCGTTTGTGTTAGATACTTATTTCGCTATTTAATAATCACCGTTGTGAATCTGACGTCATGAAATGCAATCCTTGATAAGGTTGTTGCGTCTGCCATGGGACTTATGGCCATTCTAAATATCTTATGCCTCTCGTTCTCATGGATGTGTCTTCTTGCTTCGCTACAGGATGTTCCACAAGATGCTTACGGATGAATCACTATATTATGAAATGTTCAAGAAGGTTTAAGACCCCATGGATGGTTTTCATAATGGCAGTACTGACAGCTGTACAAGCGGAAGATGATAATTATTTTTGTACCGTCGTATACTTTATTGTCGCGTTGTGGGGACGCCTTTATCCCAGCTCGATGGAATCGTTTACCTAGAAGATATTTATAACGTACGGACTTGACGGGAAAAAGTCGTGTTTGCCAATCCATGTCGAGTGGCTTCTCTGTGATCAGTAAATACTATCTGCTGCTTATTCTCACCTGCGAGAAATCGCATTTGCAAACGCTGCCCAAGGGCTACAAAAGTTAATAAGAATATTAAACGAATTATTACTCGCAGCATCCAATCCGCTAACCTACGTACTCTGATTTAAATTACATTAATCAAAATCAATTTGAACTAACGAAATCTGCTGTCCGCTGCAACCAGCATGTTCAGACTCATTCAGGAACAGCAGAGCCTGAAGCAAGACAGGTCCAATATCAATGAGGGTTAGAATAAACCAGTCTCGTCCTCTTAAATTAAATTTCGAAATTCGTTATGGTTTTCAAAAGCCTCCCATGATTCATCTTTCCTGAGGACACTGAAAATAAAATTCTTATATTAGCCATAGGGTTCCACCCGACCTGTACTAGTCCGTTACTCTACTATATACTTACTTCTATACTAGAATATCCTTAACCACTGATGTTACATTGGCAATGAGAAACCCCGTGGAAACTGATATGGTTGAATCCTTTGCCAGTCCATGGACGAAGTGGTTACGACTGCACACGCCATGGAACGTCGAAAGCCATAACGGCATGGTATAACCGCCACCAGCGACAGCTTCACGCTGACTTTATATTATGGGGCTCCATTGCTGTACAGACGCAAATTCATACACGCGTATCCTCCCCTGTACGTACTGCTTTATGTAATGGCCTTTGTTCAAAGGAATATTATGACAATGTTATTATGTACCACGTGTCGAGAAGCGTAACGGTCTCGTAATTCAGCAGTCAAAGACGCCACCGTTCTTCACCCTATGATTCTTGCTATTATTATTATTATCAAGAGCCGTCGCTCGCTTGAAAACGTTGCCAGGTACGCGAATTCTTCTCTCGTGCAGATCGTGACACCACGTAGCCATTTATTAGGCACGTCTAACGCTCTGATTTTTTGTCACGTCCAATCTGGAATTTCAATCTAGCCAACGTTTGACAAACTACTCATTGTTATGGGGTTGCATTGTATAAATGCCCCTGCCTATGGACAACGTTTTATCACTAAGAGGAAAGTCGCCTACGTAACGTCATGAGGATCCGCCACGAAACGTGACCCGAGCTCGGAACGTAGGAGGCAGTAGGCACTATAGAATTGTTTGAATCGACATGACAGTTTCGAAAATCGTTTAAACACTTACGAAGCATCGATGAATTCCCTTTAATAAACGATTATTTATCCATGTTTCATATACGGTGGCGTTTAACATGGAGCATATGAAGATATGGACGTAATATATCTATGTGTCTTTATATATAAATATATTTATATCTCCATGACCTTCCCACATAGAGTCACTATTGCGAAACAAGAACAGGTGTCCAAAATCTGCGTGGGCTGGCAGACTGCCCGATGAATATAAAGCGGATTATAGCAGAGACAGTACAACGCACTTGGAATCGGATGCGGAATTAGTATGAGAACAAGTTTGACCCACTGACAAAGCACGAGACGTTTATCTTCTTACGCAGGATTCTAGAGAATAACATTACAATTATCCATGGTGGCTAAATTACATATGATGACTGTATATGTGTATGTATATATATCTACTACATCAACGAAAGGATCATCGAAACATTCTTACCCCTGATAAGTCAATTTAATAGTTGTCACTGCCTAATATACTTTCGAGTCTTAGTGGTTGTTTCTCGTGAAATTTACGAGTCAGTCTCTCCGCGTCCAGCCTGAAGCAATGTAGAACGTAGAACGAGTTTCGCCAGTACATTCTAACCTAACGCCACCAGAAGGAGACTCGCCTTTACGTATAAACCTTTTGGGTACAGTACCTTTTTTTTCGAGGGGTCATTTCGTGGGTGAAAAATGCCAAATAAATGCCACCGCTCCTCGCTGTGGAATCCCATAAATAAAGTGGCAGGCGATTGATTGACGAACCCTTGGAAACACAATCCCTGCATTTCGTTCCGCTAGCCCATTGTCGTTCGTCTACCACGATCGAGTGCATGTCCCACTTACGATATCCTTTGCTACATTATGTACCATGTAATCATATTTATGCAATACTTATGTGTTATATATTAGACGAAATACACCCCGACAGTCCTTAGGCTGCGTCGAACTTTTTGGCACACATAACCTATTCTTGGCGCGGGATGTTTAACACTCACTCGCGTACGATACTTCAATATTTCTCATTGTGCACATACAAGATCTCTCCAATGTTATCCTTTACTCCTTTTCTTGCAGACGACCAATATCGGTAGAGAAAACGTCGTGAAGAAGCTGTCATTCTACAATCATACCGAATGCGAGTGCCGTGAGAAGAGCGAATACGAAGGCACGAACGATAAATCGTCCGAGACGTCATTTTGGAAACAGTCGACCTCAGCGCCACCACAGAATATTCGAAGACCGCCACAAAGAAAACCGTAATGATTTACTATTCGTAATTTTTGTTTTCCTTCTTCGTGATTTCATTATAGAAAACATGCTTTTCTTTCTTTTTTGTTTTTTATATAGGTGCCGGTGTCCCTCGGAATTCACGCCGAGAATTACTCCAGAGGGCGAGTGTCTGTGCAACTGCTTTAAAAATGATCAGAACTGCATTAGCACGAGGAGAGGAAAAAGTTATTTTTCACTTAGAGATAGACTGTGAGTATTACGTGATTTTACGGTTTATGGAAATATATATCACGTGGTTGCTGTTTTCTCATAATCGTGTTTGATTAACAGGTGCGTGCAGAATAAAGAGTGTGCACCGCCTGTCTGTGAATTTGGCGAGTACATGAGCAGGCAGGGAAAATGTCCGTTGAAAAAGGATATATTCGACGCCGTTGCGAATTACCATGCGAATCTCAGCCCCAGACACAGAAGTTAAAGAGAAGAAGGAAGAGAAATAGCAATTGACGAGAAACGATGGTGCCATTATTAAAGTGCCTTTATCAGAGACTATTATATCGTTGTAATCGAAGCCTTACGATATACATATATTTTTTTCCTATTTTTTCTCCCTTTATAATTAAACGCGCGGAACAACAGTCAGCCATCGAACCTCGCGGTCAGAAACGTGACAGCGTCCGATTGATCTGTCAGCGGGTTAGTCCATGGCCAACTGCCAAAATCGCGTGTGTAGATCTGAGAGGCCGTGATCAGTTGATAATTAATTAATTATCAATATTCAAAAATAGATGTATTGAAGTAAACTCAGCCTGAATACAGTAAACGTTTGCGAAGTCCTCGGACCCGAGAGCCTAGTCTGAGGCCCTGTTTGAATCCAGCGAGTAATTCTTCAATCTGACAAATTCATCATCCTGAAAAATTAAGCAGAAAGGCAATCTTAAAACATATAAAATTATAAATACCCAGAGTCTCTTGTACGCAGGATTGAAACAGGTCCTTAATAAATCCACCCTATACCTATATATCCTACCTTGTTTATTTTTTTTTCTATTTTCTTTTTTCACTGTATCGTTATGACCCGTATTGTATTTAATCAAACATTAACCGCCAACTTTCATTAATTTAATATTTAATCCCTAGCCCTTAACCACTTTGCGATTAGATTAATTACGACAAATAGGTGCGAACTCCCGGCCGTGTACGAATACTTCGACAGTGGAATGTCACGTGTACTTTCTTTTTATCCCAGTGTATAAAAAATTATTCAAAAATGAAATTAAAAAAACTTTATAATAATAGACCGAGAATTCGTTCCACGCTCGACTCTTCTTACGCGAGCCAGACAAGTGGCTGCCACCAATACGAATAATTCACAGTGCCAATTATTTCGTAGCTAATAGAGAGTAGGTCGATGAATTAATCACCACATAATTAGGAAACTATATGGAGTATGAGTAATCATAGAATTTGTTACTACCACTATAGAAAGTAGTTGCATCCACTTTTATTGTTTCTTTTAATTCCCACGAGAGACAATACACGAAGAAACCAATCCCAGTATAACGTAACGATCCTTGTATCATTTATAAAATGGTTGATAAGCCGGTCGTCGTTCAATCGACTGTTTTATTGAGCCCATGTGTAAACGTGTTTTTTACGCTTTTATATATATGTGTATGTATACATAGAATCATTGATTAATCAATTCATTTACGAGAGAGACAGTAGGTGAGAAAGAGTGGGAGAGAAAGAGATTGAGAGAAAATGTGAGAGAGAATTTATGCGAATTGCCTATAAGTGAACGTTCAATTGTTATTATTATATTGACGAATCAACATCGATGCAGTTCGCGGCCATTCACGACAATCAATACAATCATCATTGTATTATTATTATTATTAATATTATTATTATTATTATTATTATTATATAGTAGCTTGTTTAGGCACTAGCTATTAAATAGATAGTAATAAAATGTGAAGTTGTATAGAAAATTGTGAGTTAATTATTTATTCGTAGGAACACCATCACGATCTGTATCCCAAATCGATTTTCGTAATCGATTATTTCTATGGTGAGTATTTTTATATTCTTGCCGTAGCGCCGATCGACTGAATTCCAGGATCGACATGACTTCGTGTCGATCTGACTTGTACGTGACATTAAAATTGAAATTGGTACTAGGCAGAGAAATTCAAATGAACTTTTTGAATGGATGAAAAATTTGTCTGTATTTGTGTTCTGTTATTAAGGATCGAAATAATTGGCACGGGGTGTACGATTAATTAGCAGTTCCGAAAGAAATCCATCAATTAATCGTATTAAGAGCGTTGATCAATCTTCAAGTCCTCCCTTAATCTCTACTTAATGATGTTTCGTAACAATCATAATAACCGAGCGACTGAAACGTTCTACTACGATAGGAACATTCCATGGTGTTCCGACTCGACAATGAAGACAGCTTCAAGATCCAGCGTGAAATCAATTTCATTGTTCCTCTTAAAGACCCCCGTAGCCTATGGTGAAAGTTAATCGTGTACCACGCAAAAACGAATAAACCAACATGGGTGTGTATAGTAGGAGTGGAAGGTTTAGAATATATAAACTAAATTTGTCGAGAAATGGATGTTAGGTTAATTTTTTGTTTATGTGGGCGAAATGGAATTTATTTGTTTTGTCAATAATATATTATGTGATCTTGTAGATTGTTATGGTGGTTATACTATTCTCTGGTTGCACGTTGACGATCATTGATTTGCGATCGATCACTTATCTCACGTGTGCCGCGTGCCTGTCAACGAGTCCAATTGAATTACGTCCTGGGTCGTTTGATCATTCTTAACGCGTGAGAGGACCAGGGCGTTTTGAAACTTCTGGTAATGGCCGATGAGTGCCTAATCGGTTGAGTCGATGGATATTCTACATTGAGATACGACATCTACGTGGTCTCCTCAGGAAATGCAAATTTCTTGGCTGTCGAGATTTATTCAATAGACTGTCCACGTAATGCTTCGTATTGTCGTTACACGATTCTATTTGAAGACAGTGTCATTCTTATGCATTCTGTAGTCACGATGGATTTAATCACTTGGGTGTTGGGATTAGAATTGAAACGGCGACATTAATAATACTGGGTATTCAAAAGAAACATCTATAGATTGTGTTGTTTGAGAATTATACAATAAGTATTTTTAACTGTACTTACATATATCAGCGTTAATTAAGGACATATTAAACAATGTGAAAATAAGTATTCGTCATACTGAAAACGCCGTAACTGAAGCAACCCGTTATACAGCTGTAGTATATTGTTAAAAATTGTTACCCTTCGAAGGTAAAACAGAATCACTACTTAACTCAAGACCGATTTCAATATAGTTATCCTGTGCGTAATCATATAATATACTTCGCTGCTAGTAAAGGAAGGTACGTATTTATTAAAAAAAATTGTTCTACACTTTTATTTCGTCAATTTTCATAAAAAATGAAAATGTACTGCAAATAAATAGTTTTCAGAAATTGTAGTTTTCGTAAAATTTGTAGAGAACCACACTTAGGAAAAATCTCGACGGAGATTTGGTGCTTTTGTTTTTTAAAAATAACTTCTAAAAATAATAGCCGATTTTCCCAAAACTTAGTCGGTAAAACAGTGACAGAGCATACAATTCTCAATGAAGTGGCTTTTCTGAATACGTTTACGTGGCTAGTGCTTCGTGGCCAAGTGGCATGAGTAGTACCGTTTGTAGGATCCAGTGGCTAGTGCGGCGCTGATTGAGGAAGAGGAGGACTTTGCGTGCGCGTGTTTCGCTCGAAATAACATGTCGGATACGCGTCGCCGTCGAAAATCGCATCATTCCGGTGCATCGGACGATCTCTCGGACTCCTATGACGAGTTAAATGCCACGAAGGAGACGCAGGTAAGGATGCCAGGAGGATCTTCCACAAGAACAGCAAATTTGCATCGGGTTCCCGGGAAAGTTAACGGGCGTTGTTTTGTCCCGTGTTGAATGTGTCTCTTTCTCGTCGTTCTTCAACGGTGAAGGTAGATTTTAACCACGAAACGAGGTCGAAAGTTCAGAGATTCCTCGCGCAATTGGAGCGCAAAGCGATAAGAGATCGTGCAGATGATTTATAAGACTTCACCGGTATTTGAGACACCTTGAATATTCATATGCAGCACGTTGTAGGAGAAGGTTATAGACTTGGAACTTTACGAATCCTTCGTCTAGCCGGTTACTTTAATTTTCTGTGAATACCAGAGGCTCAGCGTCTCGGCGCCTTAACGTCGATCAACGTAATAGATGTTATTAGGGAGAATCTGATAATAGAAATAGATGTAAAAACGTTCGACTGGTCTCTGAGTGTCCGATGTCGAACATTTGTTAATTGTACTACGGTACTCGTATTTGCTTTGTAATTCGACACCGAATCGTTGATGTCCTAGAATTAATTTTCAAGCTTCTTACCTCTGTTTTGAAGAGGAAAATATGTTAGATTTTACTACAATTGATTTTGACTTTTGTACTTGTTTTGGAGCTTTGACTGCTGGATACAAATGACTTTTTGACCTGCAGAAAAACAAAAAACATGCCAACAGTTGTGTCCTTGCTAATAATTATTTTACTGATAAAAAGAATATATTGAGTTTTTTTTAGAATTTAGAGCATTTATTGCAAGACTGCAGTCAATTGTTCACGTTAATTGATATTACATTAACTTCCAATTTTATCGGCAAATCATTGTAAAATGTGTACTAGGTAGGACGCGAGGCATTGACCTTGTTATTTGTATAATAATAAAAAAACTTGGTGCATGATCTGAGTGCTGCGTTTCACTTAGTATTGATAACTATATTTTATTTAGTAAATCATCTACGAGTTGAGTTAATCTATATATTTTGTAAACCTCGTTTATTTTTTTAGATTGTAATTGATTTTTCAGGTTCAATAGTTTCATATGATGTTTTGTGATATCGGTGTTTGCGTTAGAAATATAAAACTGGTTTTTAATCAGGAACCCTTGTTATTTCTATTTTTTTACTAATTATACAGAGCAGTGAACAAACTGAGGCTCAACACGATTCCGAATATGACACAGCTGGCAGTGATACAGATACAGAATCACAGGATGGTGCCCTACGTGAAAGCGGAGATGGTCAGGAGGAAGATAAGCCTCAGCGTAAACTGGATGATGATGAGGATAGACGTAATCCGCAGTATATACCAAAACGCGGTACCTTCTATGAACATGATGATAGAACAGCAGATGAGGTGACGGACACAGCTGTTGAACCACCTAGTGAACGAGAAACAAAAGAGAAGAAAGTGTGGAAGGACAAAGAGGATAGATGGAATCACGATAGATATAATGATGAGGAACAGGCACCAAAGAGCCATGAAGAACTTATAGCAGTGTATGGATATGATATTCGAAATGAAGAAGGTCCACCTAGAGCACGTAGGAGAAGAAGATATGGGTAAGTAAATTTAAAAAAGTATAGAAAGTTTAAGAAAGCATTTGTCTTAGAGTTTCGTTGAGTAACTGGAAAAATTGTGATTTTATTATGTGACTAGACGAGGGCCAAACAAGTATACACGTAATTGGGAAGATGAAGATGCTTATGGGAAGACAGCAGGTACCGTCACTCCTGCTAAAGGAGGAGGCAGAAAGTCGAGAGGTGGTGAAGAATTCCCTGCACTGGGTGCCAATAATAGTAAAGTAAGTGCAAATCATACAATCATACCTTTACATTAAACAGTATCACTGATCTTTATCCTTATTAAAGGATTCTTCTCAGAATTCTCCAGTAGGAACGGAGGAGCCAGTGATAACCTCCGCCTGGTATAGCAATAAGAACAAATCTCAGAGCAAAGTTCAGGATTTCCCGCCGTTGCAATCTCAATCCGATAATCACAAAACGAAGCCAAGTGGAACGGCTAATCTCCAGCATACGTGAGTATTCCCAGTCGATAGATAAGTTATTACACTTCCACAAAGACATTATCGAACTCTGTTGAACCCTGAACTCTAAACTCCAGGAACGAGAATCGAGCTCCAAACGAGCCAACAAATCCTGCCTGGAAAAAAGAGCCAAAAAACTCGACTCAGAATCAAAGTCCTAACCGAAATTCCGGTGGTGGCGACGCCGATAAATCTTTGCATTCTAAGGCATCGCCTCGTGACGTCAATAAACGACACGTCCAGGAGTCAGTAAGTCTAGTCGCGAGCAGAGTTCGCGGTCGAGGCTTTAAGGCTAACGCTAACAACAATGCAGTCACTAATAGAACAATGGAAACGAAGCCGAAAGGACGTGGTGCTGGTCCTATCTCTGCAGAGAATAGAAGGAATAATACTGGTGGTCAGCATGATGATGATCAGCAGCTCGTCAATAATATGAAACATATGAACGTCAATGATGGAGCTGGTTTCCACCAGGGCGGAAGGCAAAACAGTACGTTTTTTAACATCCGGTTAAATATCACTAATGAGTGTAATTAAATAATTGCTTAATACTAATTTTTTTCTTTGCAGAAAATTATTATTCAAATTCTTCCGGACAGCAGAGGCCCAGTACAGTTCCTCCACGTATGCAACAGCAATCGCACCAACAACAGCAGCAATCTCATCAGCAGCAACAAGATGCTTCCGGGAACAGGCCAAAACGGTATTCCAGCTTGCGTCAGAGACCTGCTATACCAGAAGGACCTGGACAACCTGGATATCAACCTCAGCATGGTCAACATGGATACTACCCTCCGCAAGGTAATATAATACTCACTTATGATAAGGATCCTGATAATAATAGTATTTGTAAAACAATGACGTTAATTGGCTGGCGAAAAATAATATATAAAACCTTTCTATGCACATGTACGTAGGCGGAAATACGAGAGCTGTCCTAGAATCATCAGGTAAGATTGAGTGATTAGTGAATCAATGTTAATGTGCGTATATATTTTGTTGTTGTCTTTATCTCGCTATGCTGTTCATAATCATATGTTTATCTTGTGTGTAATGCTACTATATTGAACCTGCTTTTTACTGGAATCTACGTGATGACGAGGAGATATGTTATTTCTGGAGACACATTCGTCCGCATTATTACAGGTTATCCTCAAGGTCCATTTGAACAAACTCCACCTGTACCAGCACCGGCTGCACCGATGGCTGCCCAACCTGTAATTCCATTGCCTCCAGGAGGTCAAGCAGCAAACTATGCACCCCCAGCTTTCCTGGTGCCATCGCCTCAGTTCATGCCACCTCAGTCAGCGCCACCTAGCATAATCAATTATGTATCGGGTCCTAACGGTCCGACATTCCAACCTAATTACCAAGGATATCAAGGCTATAACCCAACGGTCCAAGTAAATACAACAACAGCATGTTCAACGGTTATTTAGTCGCGAACAACTTTACAATAACGGAATGACCTATTTCAGCCACCAGGACCACCACCACCTCAGGAACTGTTCCAACCCCAAGGTTGTACCTACTACAGTCCTGCTCAGCAACAGCAACAACAACAGCAGGCAGCACCAATTAGACGGCCCAAGGCGGCAATACCTATTCTACCACCCCCCGATAATCAACAACACCAAATCAACAGAGGACGAGGTCGTATCATTCAACAGCAGCAACAATATCACAGTAATCTAGAACCGGGTAATGTTCAACACACTGAGGCTGAAGGTAAGGTCGAAATTTTGGAAGGTGATCAGGCGGTTGTACCCGGGCAATTCGATAACGCACAGGGAGATCAATTGGAGTTTAATCAGCAATACGAGAAGATTGAAACGCCAGAATTAGTGACGTCCGATGCGGTGAACGAAGAAAGTGCATGCGCGATCCCTGATGAAGTTGAAAAGATTGATGTACCATGCAACGACGACGATGCGGTTCAAGACGAAAATAAGAAGGTTAGATTACCTACAATATCCACTACGAATGATGATCCGCCCAGTGACGTCACTGATAATAATGAGACTATTTCAACCAAGTCAGTGGAGTCAGAGATGGCTAAACCCGAGGCTGAGTTATGCATAACTGAAAACAAGCTACTCGAGAGCTCCGTGATCGAGGAAGCAGCTGCCTAATCGTTTGTACGTAACTTTTTTAATAAAATGTTTGTAAAGGCCACGAAAGAAATGCCGACTCGCCCGGTCAAATGTGTTACTTTTGAAATATTATCGTCGTCCTCGGTACAAGTCAATTTTTGATCTCCAATCAGCCCGTCTTAAAAGTCTACAGATCAAGTTCAGCCTGGTGTTATCTACTACAACAGTGAATGTGTAATACATACATCTCATAATTATCTAATTCGTTTATAATTAAAACGGTACTGCAAATTTACAGTGTGTAATCTTATACGAATCAGATGATCACGACATGGTAAACAACGAAATATGGATTCTGCGAGAAGCGGAATAAGAGGAAACTGGTCTTGATGCACCATGCTAATTGTTTTTGTTCATTAATTAAACGTGAATTTTAATTAAAATGGAAACTTTCGGGAACTGGACGATTTTGCACGATAATAGTATAATTATCTTATACTTCGCTTTATTGATTCCTCTAATGCGGTATCGAAGTCGTACGAAAATATTTGCATGCAGTGAAAAAATAAATAAATAAAATAACACGACGAAAAATAACGCTGGCGGATTACTACTCGATAGTAAACAATTATGATACAATATAATAATAATAGAGAATGTTTAGCTTAATCATAACTCTTATCGCGCTTTGCATTTGCCGAGTAAAATCAGAAACGTTGACTTTTATCGCAAAGCTTCATAGCCCATGAATTTTCGTGGTTCTTCTAGGACAGGTACGCGTATCGCGTGCGTGGTGCCAGAAACTTTATCTTGTTTTAAATTCTTATTGAAAATAAAAAAGTAATTCAGGCAGAGATACAAAAATGCACGTATAACTTTATAACTGCGACTCAACATCACCATTTAATTTTTTTACTTTTTGATATTCAGTTTTTGACATTGAACCAAGTATTATGTCGCGAGTTTTATATTATTTTGAAAATATATTTACATTGTTCTGGCATGAAAAAAAAAATCGTTTTTCCAACGCAAAACCTTACAGGTACCATTATAACGTTTCGAATGCTGCTGCTAGTTTGGGGGGTTGCGTTATTTTAATACGGTAAATATTTAAAGAGAAAATAATAGGAGCGCGTATCACAATGGGGGTTATAAGGTAGCAATTTTACATGGCTCGTGATGGCGTACGTTATAAATGATTATCCAAAATTCGAAAAAGGGTGCGTACCAAACAAAAGAATATACGAATTATATATGAGAAAGGGAGTCGAGAGGGTGACTTTAGATTGGATAGCCGATGTACTATGTACACGAATGCAGACTAATGCTTAGGTAGAAACGCGTGTTTAACCAGTTAACTTATTTATTGTTCGCGTAAGAAGAAGGCCGGGAGGGTGGGCAGCACTTTGTGCCAAGGTCACAGTACTAAGCAATTAAGTCTAATTCAGTACGGCGAATTGATACTAAACAAACGACGATTATAATTATTTTATTTCTTTTTTTCCTGCCCTTTACTGAATACTTTTTTCTTTCGTACACTTTCTTCCCTATCTTTTACTCACCGCCCACTCCTGTTGATCTTCAGTGGAACCTTTTTTTCTTTTTGTAATTGGAAAAGAAAAACCGTGTTTGTACATTATAATATTACACAAGAGAACATGAATTATGTGAAATGTTTAAATGTACACTTTTGGAATTTTAAAAATTGGTTTTTAAGGGGGTGATAGAGGGATTGATCAATGGTAGAGGGATTTATTTCATTAAGACTCAAAAATCATTATCGTCTTCTACTGTGTTTATATATATATATATGTTTATATGTGTTAAACACAACAAACATACACACATATTGATACTTGTGCGATTTTGCGCGACTTCTATAAACTACTCGATTATGCTAAATATAATTGATTTAAACGAAGGGCGATTCATTAGACTTACACTTATAAGTTCCATGCAAGAAGCGATCGTTAAAAAAATATGTTATTTCAATGATGCGGTTCGTTTGGTTAAAAAAAATGTAATAAAAGTGGCGCGCAATCGAGCGGTATGAAATATTAAAATTCGAGGTGGATCGTTTTTTTAGTCGGTATCCAATGACGATAATAACGGTACCACGTGAGGAAAAGTAATTCTAATTGAAATAATGGACTAAGTAGGACATAACACGCATTCTGTAACATATAGCGATTTTATATTTTGTAGCTGTTGTTCGATCAAGAACCGAGTGTAAAGCGACGAGGGGAAGATCGTTGTACCTGGAATAAGTTAAATAGAAAATAAAACCAGGAACCCATTTAGATTCGCTGCAAGTTGTGCTACCACACGGCTCTCATGAAAAATATTTGACACTCAACGATATTGTATTACTATTATTATTGCTGCTGTTGTTGTAACTGATTACAATATGATTGAACATGTGTATAATTCATATATTACGTTTACTTGATTAAAAGTTTAACTACACCCTCTCTTGTTCTTGTTAATTAAACGTTACAAAAAGCATATTGTCGTCGGCACTATTAAATTATAATAATGGAAACAACAAAATCTCTGGGACTTCATTTCTTACTGTACATCTTTTTTTTCTATAATGATACAAATTCTATTGACCTTTGCTCTTATTATTACAGATTCCGTAATAAATATTTTACTAGCCTGGAATATATAAAGTATAGTTGGTTTCAGTACAGTCAATGAGGATAATGTTTCTTTACTTTTGCACTGGCAAAGAAAGCAAAGCTTTTTGTTGAGAAAAATGATAATTAAAATATGGCACCTTAATCGTGAGTGTAATATACATACTCGAACTTATGACGTAATGGAAATAAATAAATCAAGCTTACTCACGAATTTTATAAACCTTACAGTAGTTTTAGTCATTTTACTTTTGACTAGCGTCGTCCCCATTCTCTTACAGCTTAAGGTAATACTCCTGATGGCAATAGTCGTTGTCAATTGACTAAATAAATAAAACCTATCGTAAGAGACTAACGGTGTCCAACGAGAATACTGCAGGTATCGGAACGAGTCGTATATTTGGTAATACGTTAAAAGCCATATGAAAACCTTTGTGTCGTTCCAATAACTTTTGGTCTACCTTATATTCATATTCTAGTCACGTTTTTCATTCGGTTGCTGTATAGCACTAAGCGGTATAATCTCCGTGCTGTGCTGAACATTATTGTTCGTGTTTGTTGTAGTTTGAATCGATCTGGTATTGATGGTTTGGGAACGCAGCCCGTGTGGATTTGAAATTCCCGCCAATTTGTATGTCCCACGGTTACGGGGACTGCTACTGCGCGGACAGCAAAACGTTCGTCTGAACTCCTTGCGGAATTTACCTGAAACAGCAAACGGAATATCCAAGAGTTGTCGGTACGATTGATCGTGTTATTTGACCTATGATCGATCATCAATTTTCATTTAAATTACTTATTCAGCCATTAGGAAGGAAAAAAATTACTTATTCATCCGACAGAGTGTGCTTTGCGTTGGTAGTAAAAACATCTGACAGTGAGTGTGCGACATTCAGAGCAGAATTGTGAAACGTGCTGTGCGATACAATCCTTTATGAAATTCTTGATGTTCCATGAAATTTCATGGCTTTCTTTCTATCAAGATCATAATTCCTGATTATTTTAATGTGAATATAATTTATATGTACACATATACTATATTTGGGTATAGGATAATATCAATTCTAATATTTTGAAACATCTACTCAATAATGCTGAGTCTTTTAACATTATCGAGTGAGTATATTAAACTTTTCATGATTAGATTAAATTCATTGAAATTTCGTTATTACGTACTGAGAGGAGATTACCTTAATGAAAATACTTTCAACGCTTACTCTAGACATAATTATATAATTCCCACTAATCACGGCCACTGACTGATGTCCGAGCAATACTGGCTGTTTCATCAAGCATATGATATTAAGGGAAAAAATCATTTTGAATTTAAAACGGGACGATAAAACAAACATGAGCTCTGTATGTCACATAATGCATTTAATAATACGTCTGCCGCCATAATGCAGAAAGTAATAAAGATACTTGAAAATTCCACTTTGAAATTGATTTATTCCTCTGATTAATTTTAATCGGTTTCACATTTTTTTTTAAATTACAACGATAACATCAATTGGCTGTTTTGCCTGAGTTGCGATAAATTAACAAAATTTTCAATTAAACGCACCCTTCATGGCTGTCATTCCACGTGATAATGCTTTAGGTTGCCAATGGTGGTCTCGTGAGTTTTCATTAATGCTCAAATGTCGTTAACCCAAATACCATTGGCAACTGTAATAAGCACAAGAGAGTGACACGAGTGCCTTAATTTCTTAGCGTAATATTTCCCCATTTATTTAGTCTGTAGAAAATACTGGACTTTTAATGGAAAACACTGTATGCTTACAATAGCACAATTTCTTACGCTTAAACATTACAAGTAATTATCTTAATTGTTGTTTTATCGTGGATGGACAATATTATTTTTAACTCGCAACATGTTTTTCGTCAGTTACGCCCTTTAAAGTATGTCATTAAAATTATTATAGACGTATCGCGTTAGCATACAAGCAGTTTCCCTAATAGAAACCCTAATCTAGAACACAGAGAATTACATTTCGAGTCACAGCTATTTTACAGGTAATACAAAATATTGGATAACAGGAACATTCATGACTCTTCCTCATAATCCAAAAAAATATTAAATAATATAGATTATCTTTTTGGTTAATCCTCGCACAAAATTCTTTCTTTGGTAAAATAAAAATACGAAGATTAGCATTCTTTTTTTAAATTACATTCTTCTTCCTTCAATCTCCTTAAATTACATAAAACGTCATTTTAGACTCTAACAATAGAATGAATGGGTCTCTCTCTCTCTCTCTCTCTCTCTCTCTCTCTCTCTCTCTCTCTCTCTCTCTCTCTGTCTCTCTATTTCACCCTTCTAAAAGTAAGTCCTGTACGAAAATTGAATCCTCTCTGAATGATCTACGGTGCCTCCAAGATTGGTCTCGCTGATCTCACACGTGGGGATACTCGCTGATCCTTTTGCCCAGGTCACCCGCCTTACTGTCGGTCATAGGTCCCGTCGACTTTGAGCCAAACGGTATCCGTTTGTAGTTGGACGATAGCTGCTGGGTCTTGTACCTCTTCTTCCGGGGATGACGTCATTGGCTGGTACACATTCCAGAAAAGCGCGTCTGAACTCCTGCCGGAACTTACCTGCAAATCGAATCACACACATCCATCGTTGATCAGGAAACCGGTTGGCATCCATTGGAGAACATTATGTCCTTGGTCGTCCAATAAAAGTAAAAATCGATTCGGACCAACAATTGGTATTTAATTATCGAGAATTAGGGAGGACCGTATCCTATACCAGAGAAAAAAATTCTCACATGGTTTCCTACATATATACTTTTCGAAACCTACGTGTCCGTATATACGTATATATACATATATACATTCGGACAGAAATAATTCTCTCGGTCCAGCCGGCTCAGAAGTTCAATCAAGAAACACCCCGTGCACACGTAAAACGTCGATATAGAGATAATAGAATTACCAGTCACTCCCGTAACGCTAAGAATGTCAATACGTTCCATAATGCTGAGAATGAAAAGTATCGACGTTGAACCTTTATCGGCCGGTATGGAAACGTCGCGTGCTTTTCCTTCGCGTCTACGTAGGTCGACCTTTTAAATATATTCTACAAACGTCTGTATAACGCAAATGCCTTTGATAAACAGTCTAGGACACTTTACAGAATTGTTTGTCCGCTATACCCTTTTACTGTGAGTTTTCTCACATTTTTTACAATATTTTTTTTTTTCAAATCCATCTCTTTCATCACGAACAGTCAGAACAGCCAGATAAAATGGAGATAAAGCTGACACGAAAAAAAGAAAGAAAAAAATTACGTGACACGTATTACTTTGAAATATAAAATTTGACGTAAGGGCAAAATGCATGGGGATTGGTAATCCCATGGGTTTCGGTATCACGGGTGGATTGTGCGTGGAAAAAAAAGAAGTCACATGAACGACGAGGATGGAGAAATCGTGTTAACTTTTTTCATGAATAAAAGCTACATATACATATATACTGCATATAGACTATGAATACATATGTAAACATATATATATATATTCATAGTGGATAATTGAACGCAAGGGGATGATTCTTGTGAAGTCTTGATATCATTACATTACGGAGTCCCACTCTCTGTTATTTCGGATGGCGGGTAGTCTGACAAAGAATTGAAAAAGCACGTGGGAGTTAACGACACGTACTGCCCACTGATGCACGAGGTACGTTGGGTTAACAGGTATACATGTACAGAAAACATATGTATTTTCTGCAATATATTTACGAGGGCGAGCGAGAGCCTGAAAGTGTCAGACTAAAAAGTGTCTGGAATTTCCCATGGGAATTCTATCCTACGTTTAAGTAAAATGCTATATGACACATATATACATGTGTATTAAAATGTATGATATGCCAAAAAAAGAGCGTCGCGCCGAGAACGACTCATCCATTTTTTATAGTTTCAGCCTCGCTAAAAATAACGCTCGAACTCTTGATCCCCCATCGGCCTGAAATCCAAATGGAGTTCCTTGGCTTTTCTGATGCGCCCTTATCGATACCAAAAATAAATGAGACCAATATCAACAACGAATCGCCCGAGTCGTTCTATAAGAAGAGAAGAAAGAGAATAGAATAAAGAAGAGTGATATAGCAAAGAAGAAAAGAAAGCCATGCCTACTCGACTCTAAAGAGAAAAAATAAAAATAAAAGAAGGTTATCTCCTGTCGAACAATCCATTTGGTCGAGGGAGATCCCGTTGTGAAATAATGCTGCATTCTCATTAGCGACGTCGATTACTTCCGTACGATTAAAGCTTTTCTATTGTTGGCGAAGAGTTTCGCGAGAAAAAATTGAAGCGGTCGAGGACGATCAACAATACATTAGTGGTCTTCCACAGCGACGGCTGTGGGACAGTTCTTATCGTAATTACATAAATTAAAATAGATAAACGTGTAGGTAGGTAAATATGTAGCACATATAGGCTGCAGCGTGCGTGAAAAAAAAAAGAGTATATACACGTATGCTTGGTATTTACATAATCGATAGCGCCGGCCACTGAGAAATAACAAACCGTACTTGGCGGCGAGAGCGAAAAGTGTGCTGAAGTATTAAATTATTACTAAATCAATGTCGAATTATATATATATCGAATGTATACGCGTGTGTGCAATAAATTCATATTTACCGCTCATAAAGTTGTAGATCAGAGGGTTGACAGCGCTGTTGGCATAGCAGAGCCAATGAGCGAGAAGACTGGCCGTAATGGTCAAGGTATTAGACGGTAGTCCTATTGTGTGCCTGAGGAAGAAGACATTGTCATGGCGTTTCTCTAGGTTAACGGGCAAATTTCGCAAGGCTTCCAGAGAGCCAGTATTAGGAGGGTATGAGCTTGTTATTAATTAAATCTTGTTTCATATTTGCCAACCACTCGTGGATAACAACTGTGTTCTAATATAGAAGTTTTAGGAATTCGTCTGGGGCGACGCTCGGTGTTTGGGTTATGAACGACGAACGTGGGCCCCTTGCCTATTCCAAGAATCTCAGCCATCCTAGGGACTAGGAGGGATCGTAATAGGATTATAGGGTCGACGGAAAAATTATTTTTAGTTCTTACCTGAGAACCGAGATTACGTGAACAGGAATGTAGCAGACGGCAAACATGACGACCACGGCTACCAACATTTTGGCGGCCTTTTTACGCGAGCGTAATTGACCTTCAGGGTTGCCACCACCGCTGGACGGAATTCCGTTTACTTGATAAATCCTCGCCGACACTGATAACAATTGAGGAATTAATATTAGTGAGACGTAGTACACTCGAATCACTCTGTAGGACTAGTAAAATTAACGGCAGCCATGTTGGACGTACATCGTGGATATTTAAATGAAGTTTTGTAACTAAATAAAAGAGTCAAGATTTCCGGTTCGACTCCCGCGTAGAAAGGGTCCCTTGTGTGTACTACGGATAAATTATCTTTGTAAACTGCCGAGAGCTAATGCGATCTACTTTATCGACGGTTTACAAAGAGCAAGAAAATGCCGATTCAAATGTTTACTTCACTTCCATGCACTATTTTTTTACGCTAAATAGGTTAGGATATCACTGTACAAGTTTTTGTCTTGAGAACTAAGCTCGCGAGCTTTGATACCTGAAAACTATCTGTAATCCCTTAATCCGACGGACGTTAAACCATCGTGAGTATAAACTTTTGAAAAGGGGGACTTTCTACGGGCTTATATTTAAACTCGTGAAAGGAAACTCGTATCTATACGCTACGGTGACTTGCTTCAATTATATTTACTCCATAATTAACGGAGCTCTGCCGGCTTTATCGTTAACGCTTAAATTCCGTGGACGTAACCCGATAGCATCTATTATGCAGTAAATGAATAAAGCTGGTCAGTAGTTCCGCGCTGATAAGCCGAAGCCAAGGTTGTCTCCATAATGCGAAACTTGGCACATCGCGTGCCTTCATGCTTGCCCTAACATCCTAGAGATCGTGCAAATACTCTAGTCGGAATAGGGGTAATAGGTATAGAGTCAACTCGTAATTCTCATTCGTCAAGCTTTTTATGACCCGGCAACATACTTTTGTACCTCGAGTGTAGCTTATCTCATCCGTAAGGTCAATGTTCAGCATCTTGAATTACAGCTAGATTATTTCCATGTGAACCCAACCTATCGATACAAAATTGCACAAGGACTGCTCTCATGAATTATTCAAATATGGATTTTCTGACCTCAATTCTCATTGTCCAATCTTAACAATCCTGGCTATTCGTGACACTTTAAAATGCCGAGTTACGATTAAATCTTCTCACGACGCTGAATGGCCACTTGGTTTATAAACAGAAACGTAAGTCCACGTGTAGCCGGGGACACTTTTGAATTTCCCGCCACTCCGAGTGACATACGTATAATCAGTATTAAATTATATTTTCCTAAAAGCACATTTGTCATTTATATAAGTAACTCCAAAAACTACTTACAATTATGTCCAGGAATGTCGCTCCTCCACAAGACCTGAACGATCTGCCAATAAGCGACACTCATGAAGATCAACGGTCCCGTATAGAGCAAAATCAGTTTAATGATCGTGAAGGTAGCTTCGCTCCTTTGACTCCAAGATGGCGCGCACTGCGTAAAGAACACGGTCTCCACGCGTAGATGAGCGGCTGGTACGGTTTGAAGGACTAACAATTCCGGGATATCTGAAAAGCGTAATACGATCCCGTTTTAAATATGAAATTCGAAGCGAAATTCGTGGGCGCTTGACGTTAGTCTCGTGTTACGTCGAAATGACGTTGGTAGAAAAATTATGTAAAGAGAGTGAACGTTACCAAAGAGAAGTGCCAGTAGCCAGATGATGATAATGGCAGTCTTGGCACGACCCGTTGTCGACTTGAACCTCAATGGAAAGCATATGGCGTACCATCGATCAATGGAGATGAAAGTAAGCGTCAGGATACTCACGCTCACTGAAACAGTCTGGAACAAATAAAAGCAAAAAAAAAAACGCCATAAATCCTTTCAGAATGAAAAGTTCAGAGCTCATTTAAGCCATCAGACCAAGTGGGTCGTGGAATATGAAAGGGTTTTAGCATGGTGTTACTTAAGGGCGTCCTTGCTCTCTTTTTTTGGTCAATGACGTCACGCACGGCTGGCAGGGCGAGTTAACGGCCTGGTTCTCATTTGCATGTCGCCAAGTAGTCATTTTTATTTAAATTTACATACCCGACCGTTTACTGTCTCGAATACGCTCTTATAACTTTTCTTTTCTCCGCACGTTTTACTTTCTCTCTCTCTCGCTCCCGGAAGTACTAAGGAAGTCAAATCTAACGTTTTATTTTTCACGAAACGCGAAAACGCATCCTGCATACAAGATTTCAGCGCCCTGCCAACACTTAATGTAAAGGTTGCAGCGGCTCCGAGAACATTCCTCGAGGAGTCACGTTTATTTTTTTACTTGCCTCAATTACCTCGAGGATCCTTTTAACGTTTCTGGATAAAGAACTTTGACATTCCGGGTAATTAAGTGTCGTCGTCAAAGCAGACGGTTGGAAGTTCGTTAACTGCTTGCTGAAGTACACGACACTGTGAATTCTCTTTGGCAGTCTGTTTAAAATTTTTTTTTTTCTCAAACTAAATCCTGAATCAGTTCTAAACGAGATATGCAGTAGATGGTCGATTTCGGTCGCTATGATTTTCTTCGTGTCTCCTCTTGAACTTCCCCGAATTTTATAGCATTGTTTTCCCGCATAACGAATTGAACGTGATTAAAACGGCCGATTTTCCTTGTAGTTCTCCCAAGCAAAGTATACAACGGAGATTGTGCTATAGCTGCATAATTTCGGTAAATTATTGTAATTCACACTGTAACTGTTAACTGTAAGCTGTTACTGTAAGATCTTTAAATTATGGATAAAGTGGAAAGAGAATTTAAAAAAAAAAAACACTAAAATATTTTTTTGGATTTTCTTGTTTCGTTAACCCTTAGAAAACCGGCAGTGCCGCTATAGTGCAAATAAAAAAAAAAACTTGCGAATTTCCTAAGCATATAGGTTATTAATACGCATGAATTTCGAATGAAAAAAAAAAAAATCACATTTCTCATGAAAAATTGCCGATTCTCTGGGTTAACGAAATCCTATTTACACTCAAGACTAAACAAAAAACGTATCGAATGTATAATGGGGGATGAAAAATAACACGCAGGATTTATTCCTGTCGACGGAAACACCATTCGTCACCAGTCGGACATAATCTAAAAATATAATTCCGATTCTGCTTTTTCGCGTTCGCTTACACCTTTTTACACGGCTAAGCCATGCGTCACGTAAAGCTTAACGCACAGCTACGAGATTAACCTTCGGTGTTTGCCTCGAGCAATGACAAGCGGTTGAAATGAAAAAAAAAAAAAAAAAAAAAAAAAAAATTTTTTTTGATAATCCATACGAAAATTCAAAATTACTCGATTACCATGTTACTTTATCCTTATTAAAGATAAACCTGGCAATGAACTACCCTTAACTTTCAATTATCCCGCCACCTATGTCTCTGTCGTCTCCGTCGCTTATTGCCGACCAACTGTTCACTAAGTTTCATTACAGCCCGTATCAACCCTCGCGAATTTAGTGGCCATCAAATCATTGAATCATCGTTAGCAAAGGGGCGGTTCGTGAGTTTTAGGACATCAAACAATTACATACCCCGACCACCCCATTCCCATATAACTCCAAACCCTGTCGATTAAACCGAGCAGGAAGTAAACAGCGGAGAAATAGTAGTCCTCCACGTGCAACATAACGAACCCCTATCAACCCCTAGCTCTGCTCCCCTACCCAGATTAGCCTATAATACCGTTTTCGCATATAAAAATTATCTACGTACTAACAGCTAACCTAACCTAAGCATATTACGTAAATTGAGGCGGAAGTCATTGCGCCATCAAATATACCATCCTCGAAAGAATTCTAAATAAGGATAATTTACCGTAATTACAAGCCTTGATAATACCTTATCTATGCGAATACGATTTTTCGTGTTTCCAAAGAAAAATGACATTTTAGGTGCTTAATAAAATTTGTATTACTCAATTCTCTACCCTCTTAGCCACCTGTTGAGCGTGGCTTGATAAATCACAAGAATATCTTATTGCGGAACAATGCCCTGTAAGAATAATAGATACACTTTTATTTAACCATCTATCGTTATACGCCCACGTAAACTTATTCCATCTCTGAGGCACGTTAAAGGGGATCCTTATTATTTATTGAGATGCTCAGTACCCAGAAAGCAGATTACTTAGCTGCTATCGGAACAAGTGAATATTTAACGATGAAAGACTAACTTCGTGAAAATGAAGATTTCTTAGTTTCTCAAAACAGTGGTAAATTTTCACGAAATTACGAAAATTTTCATTACTCACGTTTTTCCGTATATTTTATATGCTTTGTCTTACTTCGTGCTTATCTGCGTAACTTATGCCACTGAGGTCCTAGGGGTTCGCTATACTACAACCAACCGTTCCTTGGAAACGTTAAATCCTTTTAAAATATTTGCCTTGAATCGGGTTGACTTCTAATGCTTGCTAGTGATATAAATTGGTGTTAAGTTTCAACGGCCTCAAGGGGGTTAGCTAAAAACCACACCCACTTGCAATATAATCCCATATTCCAGATACACGGAATTCCTTAGACCTATTAACAGGGACGCTCATTAAGTATATTGTAGAGTCCTAACCGAGGGGGACTCTACGGTAGAAAACAAATTCTGCCCAAAGTACGTCAATGAAGCTGGAACCGCCAGAGTGGGAACTCAAAGTAAAATCTATTGCCAAATTAAGAGCTATTTAAGAGCCAATTAAATGCCCTAATTATAATTTTAGAGCTCCACCCTTTTGCAGTCGAAACTCGTGGCGGTGGTAGCTCGACAAGAAATGTGGAACATAAACAATGAAAATCTAAAACAAGTAAAACATGATTTAAGGGCTGATTAAGCGCTTCAAAAAAATGCAACAGCCAAATTTGAAAATCCGGATTTATTTTTGGATTAAGGGTTCAGTTCGAAATCTGGCTGTTGCATATTTTTGAAGCACCTAAATTCACCCCTTAAACTCTATGTTTTGTTTGGTTTTAGTTTTTTTTTCTTGTTCTGTTGTTGTTTTTACCTCTTAAATAGCTCCTAACTTTGCAATAGATTTTCCTCCGATTTTCCACTGCGGCGGTTTCAGCCTCATCGACGTGCCCAAAGTAAGATTTCCAGTCGCGTGCAATTTCAATTGTCACTTGTAAGACCTTTTCGAATTCTCATAACCAACAGTTGACAAGTGCCTTTTGTATCGGCGGATATTGCTTGTCTAACCGTTTTACGAAAAAAATATGAATAGCATATAAAAAGTAATATCGGCCAGCGTACAGAAAGCGTGTCTCAAGAGACAGACATCCTGGAAACGCATTACTAGTAGTATATATATACATACATATAGACGTATATAATACAACACAATAGAAAGTTTCATAAAATCCATAGCGTTATCACGAGGCGGAACACGGAGGTGCAATTTCATCGTGTCTCAAAGCAAAATAGAAATACCATGGAAAATAAATTTTACATAGCGATACGCCTGTCTGTCAACAATGAAAATTACAGTACGCAGCTGTTCTCTCGCCGAATTCCTATACAGATACACGATTTTGACATACAGCACCTATACGCTGACAACACTGAATATGTCAACCAGAGGCTTGGATATTAGAATGGAAAAAGAGCGAGACGCATGTGAAGCTAGGTTAGAGGAAGAGAAGAAATTTTCAAGATGAGTCGATTTTTTTTACTGATTCATCGTTTCTCCCCATTGGTATAGTATATAGTGTATATGCATGTATATATACCATGGGAATTAATAGAATTGAAATGAACAGAATCATTGCTGCAATGGTACTGAATAATCGTGAATGTATATAAACATACGTACAGTCCATTCAAAAAGATTTTAATCCTACCGTAAATTTATATTAACAAGTAAACAAGCAATAATAGTACATTATGATACAAGTGCGGAAAGTTGATGATTCCTGAAAAGTGAGACGTCACCGTCGCTTCGCTCGGGCGAAAAACGTCTCACTCGTCAGGAATCACCAACCCGCACACGCGTGTCATATACTATTGTTTGCAAGAATGTTCGGAAAGTTCGCAGTATATGCACCAAAAAGAAGCACGAAATGATCGACACTTGATGAGTTCAGAGTGTACGGGAATCATAGCATGACTGTATACGTGCGGGAATGCTATGATTTCCGCACAGTCTGAACTCATCAAGAATGGACCATTTCGTGCTTGTTTTTTGGTGCACAAACTGTATACTTTCCGTACAGCGTTGCAAAAAAAAAACTATTTCGATACAGTTGCTACGCGATATCAAACGGTAATCAGATTTCGTATCGATATGAGAAAGGAAAGACGATCCCGCTCACGATAGCCTTAAGCACTGTTTATATCCCGTAATGAGCTTCTTTGTGACGCACTTTATATATTCAGTGGAAAGGAAAAAGATTAATGAAAAAAGGTATGCAGAATAACATAGGTAGTATTGTACAGGGTTATTCCTCCCTCTGTATGGAAAATATATGTAATATTACAGATGACGGTATCTGTCTTCGAACAAAAGATAGTTCAGATATACACGTGGCTTTGTCTTCGGTTTGGTACAAAAGGAGGCCATATTGGGATTCTACGTATATAAGGATTGCCGACCAAGCCGGGGCTGTATCCTATGGGAATTTTATATATATATCCTTTCGCCGAAAGAAGACGCCACTCCCTTGAATAGATCCTACGACGAATATCTCATGCGATTTTCGTTCGACGAAGCGAGAACGTAGGACCATCCAGTATCGGACTCAAACGAACGGAAATGGGGGATATACTAGAGAAAATTGAAAAAGGCTTCTTCTACTCGCAGGCTGATTGACAATCGATGCCAAAAA